GTCCGGCACAAGGTGAAAGGAGGCGGGGGGGGGGGGGGGGGAGGCACGGTGAAGGATGTTGATATGATATGTGCAGAGTTGTCACAGCTGCTCTATAGTTGGAGATCTGGGATGGTAGGGAGCAATAAATGACTTGGAACAAGCTCTGTAGACAGGTCCTCTTAGGTGGGACAGGAAGTAGAATGGTGCGAGTCACTTTAAGCTGCATTGTTACTAATCCTCCATCTTTTCCTTCTAGGTACAAGCCCAAATCCCGGAGTCCGTCTACCAGTATATAGCGTACCTGCAGGAGTTGCTGCTCTTCCTCTATCACACGTACCTTGTGCCCGCCACTGCGTATTGCATGGCCGCCCTACAGAGCGCGTGGCAGCGATACGTTGATTCCTGCAAGTAAGTGCGTTTACACTGCGTGCGTTTCTATGCGGAGAGCGCATGTAGGAGAAGAGATCCATTCTCATATGAAATCTTTCTGCATACGGGGCGGCTTCATAAAACACTCCGAGCTCGGCGCGCTTCCAGACCTCCCTCTACCTTTTGTTTTTATATCGTGTGGCTAATGATTGACTTTGGTGTCTTGGCAGCGGGAAGGTGACGTGGGACTGCACACGGGACCACCTAACCACCGTCACCCAATCTTCATGGACATTCGTCCAGAACACCACGTTGGCCATCAAGGACTGGGCTGTGGCCATGGTGTCCAGTCATTAGAGGCCGGCGGCTGGGACTAAACAAGGAGCAGACAATACACAACGGCTTCATTCGCCTTTCCCTCCCGTAACCTTTCCGTGTGTAGAGACGCGGCTGTGATGGGACCAGCGCTGTGGGAGGAGCTTCCCCCGTGACGTGTATTCTGCTCTCCGCCTTCTGGTGTCATGGTTGTCCCGAGGTCTCCCGGCTCAGATGTTGGAGAAGCATTCCTCCATCTTCTCTGGTGGCAGCGGCACAATCTTCCTGCGGACTCATCTTATCCTTTTGCTTCTTATACATGTGATCTGTGTGTTGGATTGTCTGGGTCCATCGGTCACGCGTGTTGTGTGCAGGTCTTACACGTCTGTTACGCTCGTCCCCACTTCCTGTTTGTTTTTAGCCAAATAAAGACATTTTTTTGTGTTTCCGTATTCTGGGTCGGGCTGTAGAACCAGCAGATCTGTCCTCTCGCCCAGGCCGGGGAACCGGCGCTGTAGAAGACGTCCGGAAGCCGCGCTGGTCGCTCGTTTGTCTGTGACACGTTCCCCAATTATGTATATTCACCGGTGCCGGCAGCTTCCACTCCACCAATCCTGTACAAGAGTCCAATCAGCGCGGCGCTCCTATACATAGAATTCCAATACGTGCCGCAATTACACTGGACGGGGGAGGGGAGTCTGCTGGCGGTACGCATTCCTGACCGTACATACATGGGAACATGTGGAGCGCACCCAGTTGCCAGACAGACACTTCATACACCTCCCACTGTAGAACAAGTCCCACAATGCACCCCAGCATAGAAGAGGTCTTCCCCTCCCCCACATACACTATATTACCAAAAGTATCGGGACGCCTTTACACGCACATGAACTCTAATGGCCCCCCAGTCTTAGTCCGTATGGTTTAGTATTGGGTTGGCTCCGCCCTCTAATGGCCCCCCAGTCTTAGTCCGTAGTGATCAGTATTGGGTTGGCTCCGCACTCTAATGTCCCCCCAGTCTTCGTAGGGTTCAGTATTGGGTTGGCTCCGCCCTCTAATGG